TGGGGTAGTGCGGCACCAAGGAAGCTCGAGGCAGAGTCAGGCATGGCGGACCGGTCAGCAGCGGCATAGCTGCTTTGGGTTGTCCTTTGGACATCCGCGCAGCACCATAGCTGCTTTGGGTTGTCCTTTGGACAGGCGAGCAGGGCCCTCATTAGTCCGCCATAGCCTATACATGAGAGAGGAGGCTGAAGGAGGGAAGCCATAGCTACGGTGGACTTGTTGTTGTTGTTGTTGTCGAGTTGAGTCAGCAGTAAGAGGGAACTTCGGATATTGATTCTGGTTCATCCATTCATTGTTATGATTATTATTGAGAGAAGAATAAGATTGGCGAAGTGAAGGAGGAGGAGGAATGTGGAGAGAGAAGGACTTGTCATTGGTCTGGCTGGTGTACATCTTCTTCTTCTTCTTCTTCTTCTTCTTCTTCTTCTTCTTTCTCTCTCCTCTGGTCTCTATCTCTTTGCAGGTGCTTTCATTTCTTTCGCAACTGGGTGGCATTGTCTTTCATTGTGAATTTGCACTTTGGAAATGACCAGGATCGTAAGTTGCGCTCACACATTGGAAGCACTACCTCTTGGGTCGTCACTTCAAGGTCTACTCAGATCATTAGACCTTGCAGTGGATTAAGACACAAACTGATCTCTCTCCTACACTGACCCGCTGGTTGCATGACATTGATGTCTATAATTTTGAGTTGAAACACAAGAAAAGTTGTTATAATCGTGTTGCTGATGCTCTCTCACGCCATCCTGAGTTTTTGACTTGCCTTGTGGGTTCGTATGACCTCCGAAGGAAACTGAAGGAGGATCTGGTCGAACACACCGCCAAGGATCCAGACCTTAGTCCCATCCTTGAGCAGCTCAAGGCTGACCCTAACAGTCAGCCTGATTTTCATGAGTGTGAGGGTCTTGTATTCCGCCGGTATGGGAAATTTGATCGTTTGTGTGTACCCAACCATGCGCCTCTCCGAACTCATTTCTTGGATTTGGCACATGGTCGGAGTGGACATTTCGGCTTTGAGAAGACTTATGGAAGTCCTTTGCAGCAGTTTGATTGGTCGGGAATGAAGGGATCTGCTCAGAAGTTCATTGTTGAATGTCAAGTATGTCAAAGAACCAAGGTCCACAGGCATAAGCCTTATGGCCTGCTGAGACCCCTCCCCATTCCTGATGGTCCCGGTGAGTCGATTTCCATCGACTTCACGGACATGGGAAAGGTGAGTGAGGCAGGGAACTCACATGCTTGTTAGTCTCGAGAGTGGGTGAGCAATGACATAAAATTTGATCATTTGTGTGTACCCAACCATGCGCCTCTCCAAACTCATTTCTTGGATTTGGCACATGGTCGGAGTGGACATTTCGGCTTTGAGAAGACTTATGGAAGTCTTTTGCAGCAGTTTGATTGGCCGGGAATGAAGGGAAGTTCATTGTTGAATGTCAAGTATGTCAAAGAACCAAGGTCCACAGCCATAAGCCTTATGGCCTGCTGAGACCCCTCCCGATTCCTGATGGTCCCGGTGGGTCGATTTCCATCGACTTCACGGACATGGGAAAGGTGAGTGAGGCAGGGAACTCACAAGTCATGGTCATCGTGGACCGTTTTTCCAAATTTCTGAACTTGATTCCTTTCCCTCCCCATGCCCCAACTGAACTTGTCATCGAAAAATTTCATCAGCAGTATATTCTGCAGTTTGGCCACCCGAAAACTATTATGAGTGATCGGGACACCAGATTTACTAGCAAAGATTGGAAGAACTTCACCTCGCAAATCTATGACATTAAACTCAACAAGACTTCTGGTCGACATCCCGAAGCCAATGGATTGGCCGAGGAAATCAACCAGACTGTCATTCAACTGCTTCGCGCGCTAATTGTTCCAGATCAGAACACGTGGGACAAGGAGTTACACAAAGTGAAAGGATTGTACAACAACTCCATTCATTCTGCAACAGGTGTGACACCGAATCAGCTGCAATACGGATGGCAGCTGCTCAATCCTCTCTCCTATCTGTTCCCCGAACGGTCACCTGGTCTGACGCCCGGCATGCCTGGCTACAATGCCCAGTACGGACGCCTGCTCAAAGTTGCTATTGCAGCAATGAACAAGCGTCAACATGCCATGATCAAACATGCAAATAAGTCGCGCAAAGAAGCGAACTTCAGAGTAGGAGATTATGTCTGGGTCAAAATGTCTGAGTTTTCTGATGAAGAAGGCGTATCACGAAAGCTTCTTCCATTGTACTATGGCCCTTGGCAGGTTCTGAAGGTGATTGGGGATGATTTTGGTCCTTCATATGTGATTGATGTGCCTCCTCATCTGCGCACATATCCGGTCTTTCATGCATCCAAACTGTTTCCACACATCGATGATGAAACTTTTCCCTTCCGAGATCCTATGATACCTCGTCCTATTGACGACGGCCATGAGATAGACAAAATCGTTTCCCATGAAGGCAGAGGGAGAAACAGACAATATAAGGTTCACTTCCTCTATCACCCGTTGAACGAGTTTTTCTGGATTGACTGGAAAGAGCTGCTAAAGAATGCTCCACGTGTTGGGAACACTTATGAATGACAGATCACTGATGGACAGACTGTTAAGTTTTCTGCAAGACTCACTCCTTACGGTTTTACTAAGTCTCTCTTTTTGATCTACGCCTACGATGGCTTTTGTGCCGACTCTGAATGAGTTACTCGCTCGAAGGGACCTCGCTCTTGAGAGGGGGGTAGTGTAATGACCCTTTAAAAACACAGACGGAGAACACTGCTGATTTCTGGGATTTGCTGCTGGAATGAATGCCTTGCTGAAATTCCCGCATTCTGCTGTGATTTCCATGTCTGTGTGTGTGTGTGCGTGCCTGCTGGTTTGCATGCCTGTCTGAGTGCTTGTCGGTTGAGTGTGTGTGTGACCCGCAAGGGTATTTGTTAGTTGAAAGGCCCCGCAGGGCCGGTACTTACCTGTGGCCGTGACTGTGAAGGGTTGCAGGGGGGAAAAACACTCGAGTAGCGGGGGTAGGCCCGCAACACTTAGAGCAGAGGGGAAAAACACTCAAGTAGCAGGTAGGCCGGTACCACTGAAGTAGTGGTAGAAGTGT